GGTTGAGAATTGTCATTAAAAACAATAATCACGTTAAAAAAAATGAACAGCCTGATCAACCAGGTTATTTTATACAACAAAAATATTGTTGGGTATTTTGCACACTATTTCTATTATTCTAACCAAAGAAATAGGAAACGTCATCACTGCAACACGGGCAAAAATGAATTAATAATTAAACAAATTAACATGTAAGCAGCTTCTATAGGCACTTCCTCATGTAAGCCTTAAAAAAATTGAAGGTCTTGACATTTGGCATCATCACAAACAGCATATTGACACTGAACACTGTTATTGCTTTTTATAGAGAAGCACTGGATTCAACGCTGCTCTAGAAGCATCACATTGGTGATTGCTGCGCATGTGCCGTAGGTCTTCATTGAGTCTCCGTGAGAAGAATAGGATTGGACAAAAGTCATCCCAGGACTGATGACTTTGTGGAATGTGTAGTTGCCAATAAAGTTCAGAAAAATTTAAATAAAAGAGCACATTCTCTTAGACTAAAACAAAATCCATGAAGAATGAAAACCAATGAAAATATATAATGGATGCCTTCTCTTAACTCTTATAATGTGGAAGATTGTATTAAAAATTAGTTTTCAGGATTACACTCCTTGCATCGTAGCTGTACGTCAAGTCATAGCTGTCAGTCCTCTTTGGCTGCACATGTCTATTTATTTATAAACTAACATATTCAAGATTTATTCAGGTATGAAATGAACACTCTAGTGTTACAAATAAAAACCTTTATTTGTAATGCTGGAGTGTTTTAAAGTCCATCTATCAGGGCTCTCCAAACTCTGGCACTCCAGATGTTGCTGAACTACAACTCCCATAATTCTTTGAATGAAATAGATAGCCAGAGAATAATGGGAGTTGTAGCTCAGCAGCATCTGGAGGGCTAGAGTTTGGAGAACCCTTATCCAGATCACCTGGACCCTCTACTCCTCAAAAAATATGGTTAACTAACCTCTAATCCAACAGTGAGAGGGTCCTTCACCACAGCTCCATCACAGATTGCTCCCTAAATTTATTCTTATGTAGGGTTAGTAGAATTCTCCTGTAAATTATTAAAGGGACAATCCACTGCCCAAATACAACAAAAAAATGTAATAATGCAATTGTTCATTGGAGATATATCTAAAAACTGCTTACAAGAGTTTCAGTTCTCTTATATGTAGCATTTGCAAGGCTCCCACCTCCCCTTCTAACCCCACCCAGAGATTTTTCTGTTGCTATCCAATCTCAAACTTTCCAACGCAGCTCAATGAGAAGTGCTTGCAAGGCATGTGCTCTGAAAAATTGCTGCCTCTTGGGTTTAGCTTCACTGGGCTAACCAACCAGGAAGTAACAGTATTGATTGTCAGCTTTAAAGCCAGGGGGTGTAACCAGGTTAATTTGTAAAAGTACAATTTCTTTGAAATCTGCACTTTTTTTTTAAAATGAAAAAGAGGACAAACGCACAATTAAACACACACTCACAATTCCACAGTGGCGCTCCTATACCCCTAATGTAAATGTCATCCTGAGAAGGTGCATAATGCTGACATGATGCTTTATTGAGTGCACACTGTGCACACATGGAACAGTCGTATGGCATTCCGTTATGTTCCTGTCACCTTCTCGTACAACGCACATGTGCACAACATGTGTGTTGTTTGTGAATGTGGTAGGAACTATGCCCTCAGGTGGAAAGAGGAGGTTAGAGGGCCACAAATAACCCACAGCCAGTTGTGTGAGAACTCCATATTAGGGTAGAGCTGTTAGAGTTGCAGCTGAAATTATAAGTTTTAGCTTTTCAAACTATAGCCAATTTCATAATATAGAAAGTGGAGGTGTACATTGCATTGGCAGAAAGAGTAAAAGAAGTGTAGCAACATGCAAAGACTACAATACCATAGTAAAGTGACAGAGGTGGCGAAGCATGAGGACAAAACAGAGGTGCAATGACTACTCTTTGTGAAACACGATGCGTTTGTAATTTTTTGTTGAATTCACAGGGTGACTGTTATTACGCGGTATATGAGTTGTGATTGACTGTCTACATTGTCCTGCTCCACCGTGATGTCTTGGATTTCCCACTCTCCAAATCCAAAAAAGTAACGAAGACTCTCATTGCGCAACTGAGATGAATTTCTGCTTGGCTTCAGAATAATATTGTTATCTGTATAGGTTAAAAAAAACTGATTAATACTTTCTAGCAGATTTTACTTTCTAGTTTAAACTGTTACAAACAGGGCACGCCATTCACTTAGCGATAAAAAGTACATATTGGTAAGCATCAGGCAGTAAAAACACTGCAAAGGGACATTTTAAGCACTAAAATGATCTAAGCTTAATATAACAAAGTAGGACTATTATGAGCTACTCCAATATTGTATATAGTTATTTTTGGTCATTTTTGTTTAATTGTAAACTCAGAGATCTTAATACATTGCTTGAGCTGGGACAGACCAAACTGTTTACATATCTAAATTCACTCAGGAAACCTTTACAAATGACAACCTTGGATAACCCCGTAAAGGGACACTATAGGCACCTAGACCCCTTCAGCTGATTGAAGTGGTATGGGTGCTGTCAGTGTCCCAGGTCCCTTAACTCTGCAGTGGTAATTATTACAGTTTTTAATAAACCACAATATTTACCTGCTGGGGATAACTCCACCACTTCCGGGTGGTTAGGTGACTTTTGATCGCCTGACACTGGAAAGCCTCACATTATGCATGAGGACATTCATCATCACCCAAAATCCCATAGGAAACCATTGCACAATGCTTTTCTATAGGGGAAGTACTAATGCGAACGCAGCGATCATCGCACATGCGCATTAGGTCCCCTCACCATCCCCCAGCCGGCTGACGTCCGCGGGGTGGGAGCATATGCGCTGGAATCTGGTAAGTGACAGAGCCATTTTATGTTTACAATACCCATATAGGGGTCTCTCAATATAGAGACTTGATGTAGTAAGAAATGTAAATGGATACTCTAAGCACCAAAACAAGTTTAGCTTAATGAAGCACTTTTAATATATAGATCACGCCCCTGCAATCTCACTGCACACTTAGGGATTATTCTAGCCTTGATGAAGGAAAAGTCAAAATTTTATTAGAGGCCCTTTATATTTGTTTTACCTTCTTTATGGAGACCTTTACCAGCAAAGAAATAGTTAACATAACTTTTTAGAAACAACCAATCAGCACCTGAGCGCGGAAACTGGTGAATGGGGAAGTCTGAATTACACAGATCAATGGGAAGCGGGCCTCGGTGAAGTCTTGGAGGGACTGGAGTGGAGGGAGATATGGGAGGCGAATACCACTGTCTCGATTTGTGTCACTCTCCAAGAGCAAGCATGGAAAACTATGCTTCGGTGGTATACCACGCCTGTGAAACTATATCGCATGCACAAATTAGATAATGATGACTGCTGGCGGGGCTGTGGTTCCCGGGGCACATATATCCATATGTGGTGGGAATGTTCAAAACTCACCGGCTTCTGGAGGTCAGTGGAAGACCTCCTGAGGCAGACATTCAACAGACCCCTACGTCTTGATCCATGGGTATACCTGCTAAATAGGTCTCTCGATGGTTGGACCAGGAGGGAACAAAAATTGGTGCATAAGATAACCCTAAGCGCGCACCGTGCCATAGCGATCGCGTGGCTCTCTCCGGAAGGCCCGGAATTCTCCGGAGTGATATCTAGGATAAGAGAATGTAGAATAATGGATGACTTAACTGCTAGAGTGCGGGGGACAATGGCGTCGTTTCAAAAGATTTGGGAGCCATGGGACAACAAGGAAGGGAGGCACTTTAGTGAGCTATAGTGTCAGAAAAAAAACTTTGTTTTCCTGGCACTATAGTTTCCCGTTAGACCCCATGCATTCCCTTATCCAATTCCACTCATGGAACGTTATAGGAACAAACTCCTAAGTCACCTAAACTCCATCAAACTATATGTCACATTTCTTTACTATTCACATTAGGAGAGGAAGAAAAATTGACACTAAAAACACTCTGGATTCAAGAATGCATCTCTGCAGATTTGAACTGTAAATCAAAATGGGTGGCTATAATGTAAATTTGAACATTACAATATATCATTCATTTAACCACAGTTAACTTTGGGGGTTGATATCTATTTCTGGCTTAAACAAATCAACTATGCCCATGATAACATTTTGGCCCCCTGAGACCTAAAGATTCCTTCTCTGGTGAGAGGTGAGTGCTTTGTGCATTACGCTGCCAACCAGGGAAAAAACCCATCCCCCAGTTGGCATGCACCTGGTTACACCTAGTTAGACCACGAGTAAGGTCTCATTAGGAGAGGGTTGTCACAACAATTAACCTATTTAAAAAGCCTATCAAATGTCCCTGACCTGCTTATTTTTCAGGTGGGTACCCCCTCCACAGGTTTTACCCTGCCTACTTTATGAGACACTAATGTTGGGGGGTATATTTTCAGTGTGGCACTGAAAGTTAAAGTAAAACTAATAAATTATTACATGCTGGGTTTCTGGGACAATGGTCTCTAACACAAATAAATACATTTTAAAAATTTAAAACCCACGTACTTAGCTTATCTAAGTATTTTCCAAGGGTCTTGCAAGCCCCGCATTTACAGTAGAGAAATACATCAATTTTCTGAGCTCAAGTTATTTTCAGAATGTCAGCCTGTAAGCTGTGATAGTAAATATCAAACATTTCTAAACTGACTGCCCAGTGTAATTCTTGATATCAGAAGTGTGGCTCTTTGATGTGCTTAGAAAATTAATGTGTAAGTCAAGATTCTTACTTATAGTATATTTAGGTGGTTCCTTGTTTTCAATCAGCCAGCATTTTATGTTTACAATACCCATATAGGGGTCTCTCAATATAGGGACTTGATGTAGTAAGAAATGTAAATGGATACTCTAAGCACCAAAACAAGTTTAGCTTAATGAAGCAGTTTTAATATATAGATCACGCCCCTGCAGTCTCACTGCACACTTAGGGATTATTCTAGCCTTGATGAAGGAAAAGTCTAAATTTTATTAGAAGCCCTTTATATTTGTTTTACCTTCTTTATGGAGACCTTTACCAGCAAAGAAATAGTTAACTTTTTAGAAACAACCAATCAGAAAAAAGAACAGCAGAACAAAACTCTCAGGCAGACACTACCACTTCCTCTTTCTTTCATGAGGTCGAGACGGAGAGCATATAATCTAACAGAGTCAACAGGAATCAGGCATAGCCAAACGAGATCCACCAGAACCAGAAGTCCCAATGAAACTGCAAAGAGAGAAAGATATCGTGAAAAGCACAAAGAACACAACCAGGCAATATTTATAAAAGCACAACATTAAGTCAACCAAACTCACAACAGAGAGAACTGTAAAAAAAAACAAAAAAACACAAACCTCCAAAGTAAAATAAGAAAAAAGGGAGGGAAGCGCAAAGAACAAGCTGGTGTGAATATAAAGACAGAAGAAGCATGAAAGCACAGGCAAAAAATAAAAGTCGATTCCCAAGACCAACCCGCGGTGATGAGAATATTTCGGATTCCAGAGCCGCCGATCCTTCAGCACAAAGGAATGAATGCGGCCTGAAGGACCTCTCCAAGCAAGCAGACACAAGAATCCACTGAACCCAATGAGCAATCGTAGGATGGAGACCACCTTAAATGGTCACACATAGTAAATCAATGGTTGATAGGCAGAGGGTAGAAGAGATGAAGTTAAAAAGATATAGGTCCACAGAGAGCAAGCCACACAGAGACATGGCCTATTCAAGAAATAAGGGTATGACACAGTGAAGAACCCACACCCATCCAGATCCTGAAGGAGAAACCTGGAGGCAGGAAGCAGTAGAGGGTCGCTGCATGACAATTCCAGAAGCAAAGGGAACCACGGCTGACTCCTTAAAAGAGGAGAATCAACACCCCCAGAAGCTTGGGCCAATGCAAGGTCCGAAGTATCATAGAAAAAGATGGGAATGCATATGTCCCTGTGAGAGGCCAGGCCTGGAGGAGCGCATGTCCAGATGGAGGGTCACCGAAGGAAGTCCAATGTGCAAAACGCAGGAGGATGAAGCTGCCAGATGCTTGAATCCCTCCAGTGCGTGGGGAAAATCAGTCCGTCAAAAGATTGTACTGGCCTGGGAGATACTCCACAGTGATCAACAAGTTCTTGTTAAGACAGTACTGGTAAAGGGTCTTTGTGAGAGCCAACAGGAGTTTGGATCGGGAAGCACCCAAGAGGTTTAAATAGAGGACAGTGGATACGTTGTCCATGTGGAGAAGCAGGGAGCAGTAACACTTTCCCTTGGTGAAGCTATGAATGACCCCGCTATCAGCTCCAGGCAGTTGATATGTAGGCTCCATCCAGAGTCCAGAGACCTGCTGTCGCCTTACCACCGCAAGTCGCACACAAGCCCAGACAGGTGGCATCAGATTCCACAAAAAAATCCAGAAAGTAGAGGAAAATTGCCTTGCCTTTCCAACCCTCCATGCGCCGAAGTCACCAATGGAGTTACAGGCCTGCCTTGACCGAGAGGGACACACCCTGATCATAGAATGCTGAAGACTTGATGTAGCAAGCCTTCAGATGGATGAGAGGAGGTCTATCATCCAAGCCAGGTTCCTCAAGGTGACTCAAGTACAAACAAGAACCTGATGTTCTGAAAGATCGCGGCAACCTTGAAGAGGGGATGGTGAAGGACAGCCTGAACTGAGTCCACGACCAAGCCCACAAATGGAACCGAATGGGATGGCACCAGCTCTGACTTTTCCACGTTGATGACGAATCCAGATCGTGGAGCAGGCAGACCATGAAGGAATTCTGTAGCCGATGAACGTCTGAGTCTTACGCCATCAGCAGAATAGTGTCCAGATAGATGATAGACCTGAGTCCCCATGCCTCAGAGCTGCCATAACTGGCTTCAGCAGCTTGGTGAATCAGCATGGGGCCAAGCTGAGGGCAAACAGAAGGCAGATGAACTGCCAAAGACAACTTTGCCACCAGAACTGAAGAATGTGTAAGTGTGTAAGTGTGTGTGTGTCTGTCAGTGAGTATGTGTGTGTGTCTGTCAGTGTGTGTTTCTGTCTGTGAGTATGTGTGTGTCTGTCTGTGAGTATGT